ACCTTCATCTTCTCGCAGTCGGGCTCTGGCCTCGCATTTGGCTCCAGCTTCGTCTCCCCCTTCTCACAGTCGGGTTTCAGCATCGCCTTCGCCTCTGCCGCCTGCTGCCACTGCTCACTCTTGACGGCAGGCTGCCCACGGTTCTCGATGACAGGAGTCTCCTCCATCGCTTGCCGTTGCAGAAGCTCTGCTTTCTGCTTCCACTCCTCGACTTCCATCAGAAGTTGCTGCACCAGCCTATCTGCAGATGCGCGCGCGCCTGCGGCGCCCCGCAAAGGCTCCCGTCGCGCCGGCGGCGCTGGGGGCATTTGCTCGGCGGGTCCTCCCGAAATGGCTGGGCCGCGTTGCAGAACCACCGAGGAGGAGGAGGAGGAGGAGGAGGAGGAGGAGGAGGAGGAGGAGGAGGAGGAGGAGGAGAGGAGAGGAGGAGGGAGGGAGGAGAGGAGGAGGAGGAGGAAAAGGACGAGGGAGGAAGAAGAGGAGGAGGGAGGGAGGAGGGAGGAGGGAGGAGGGAGGAGGAGGAGGAGGAGGAGGAGGAGGAGGAGGAGGAGGAGGAGGAGGATCAGAAGGAAGAGGAGGAGGAGGAGGAGGAGGAGGAGGAGGACGCCTCGGCAGCTGTCAGCTATCGGTCGCTCGATGGCCTGGCGTTCGCTTTGCGAAACGAACTGTGTGCTGCCGGCGCATTAGATCGGCGGAACGACGGGGTCGCCTACGGGACCCTTGGCTTTTTAGCCGTTCGGTCCGCTACAGCGCGGGGCCTGTCCATCACAACAAAATCGTTATGGAACTCCAGAGGCTTAGGGCCTTATGGCCTACCACCTCTGACTCGGGGTATTCCGCGCAGCTCGAGTCGAAATGGTGCTGCATCGGTCCGCTCCCCACCGCCCACTCCCACTTCCCGCACCCCCCTCCCCCCGACATGCCTAGTGTTTGCGGTCTCGCGAGGTAAGCACTGGTGTTTCCTGAGAGCTGGCTGCCTCAGCGAAGGAAAAGCAGGGAGCCCCGAAGTCCCGCGGAGTCCCGAGGAAGACGAGCGGCGCGCGGCCGAGAAGCACGGAAGAAGCCCAGGGACGGACACCGCGGGAACAAAGAAAACAACGGCAATTGATGTGTTTTGTCCACCCGTGCTTACGCTACACGAAGGAAAATGATCTCATTCGTCATACAGTGACGCAGTTGATTACCTCAAGGCCTCTTGGCTCACTGCTGTCGGTTGCTTCCGATCCTCCTCAGCAAGTCTAGGGCTCTCTAACTTCAGATCTCGCTAGCTGTCGAAGGCCTGCAAGCTCTGTCCTTCCATCTGCTGTTGCCTGGCTCGGAGGGCGGCTTGAATCTGCCTCTCCAAGCCTGCAGGCGGGGGCGCTCCGAAGATCCGCTCCGCTTCCGCCGCCCGCAGCGTGTGGACGACGGCCCTCCTGGGGTCTGCGATCTGAGTGCCCTGCTGGAGCTTGATGGGAGGTTCCTGGTTTCCCTCGCGGATCGCAGTAATCTGGTCCTCCCAGTGCTTGGTCCAGGGGTTGCTGGCTAGGCTGTTGAACATAAGGTACAGCTTCCAGCGCTCTGGTTGCCCTTGCTCCGCGTACGCCTTCGTGACCTTGAAGTAGCTCAGGATGTCCCCGAAGTTCTGCATGTCCATGACGTCGATGAGGTATCGGAAGTCCATCAGGATAGCTTTGTGCTCGCCGTTGGCCTTGTCGTTCTGCGTTCTGGTCCATCTCCAGGAAGAAGTCCACGCCCGCGTGCAGGTGTGGCGGCCCCATGGTCTTGCCGCCCTTCTCCACGGCCGCGTCCACCGCGGGGTAGCCTCCTGGGACCAGGAAGACGTCCCACAGGCTGCCTGACAGCTGACGTATCATCTGCGCGTTGTTGAGCGTGAGCTCCTGCATCATCGTGATCTCCGCCTCGAAGGAGGTATCGTCTGAGCCAGCTCCTCTGCCAGTGCCCCTCTTCGGCTCCCCACGGGCGAGTTTGTGCAAGGGGGCCATCGCTGCCGCCGCCGCCTCTGCTGTCTGGCCGCGCGGCCTGCTGCCGCTCGCCGTTGCGCCCCACGCCATCATCTGGACCGTGGAAGTGAGTACACGCGTGTATGGGGTGGTCTTCGAGAGCTGTGTCCTCGCGGGCGCAATAGCCGCAGGTGTAGACTGCCCGCTGTTCGGGCTCGAATGCAACGGATGTGGCTCGAGTAGGGCATCGCAGCGGCTTGGACTTCGACATGGTGAGAAGGTGACGAGGGCAGGGCGCTCGACTTGAATGATGTGCGGCACCAGGGGCATACGTTTGTGCATATGATCATCGAATGCAGGTTCCTCATGTTTTGCGCGTGCGTGATGTGCGTCGTCAGTGCCTTGACCGTGGTGAAATACATCCCGCGCCCGATGCCCTCGCCCTCCTCCCCCGTCTCGTGCGTGCGCGCGTACTCGTCTATGTTGGTGTTGTCGTCGTCGTTAAAGTCGGCGTCGCTGCCATCGTTCGCCTGCGTGTCATCGTTGCTCTCCGTCGTCGTGATGCCGAGCCGCCGTAGTAACCTAGTCACCCGTAGGGCCCCTGAACATCCTCAGGACGTTGTGGCGGTTCCCCCAAAGCTCGGGTCTGCATTCGCCAGAGCCTCAAGATCGCCTCGGAACTGTCGGGCCCAGGGGGTGCAGTGGCTGTAAGCCCTCCGTCGGTGTCTAGCCGGGGCTTCTCGAGGAGACGGTCCATTCCGAGGGTCCCAAACTTGGCCGCGAGATCTTGTTTGTGATGTTTTGGCTCCTTGGCGATCTGCTGCCACCGCCTCCAGCCCGCGAACCCTACCCCTACCCCCCACGATTTCTGAGGGGGAGGGCGGGGTTCACTTCGTTCGGGAGCTCCCGAGCAAAGTGAACCCCACCCTCCCCCCCCAGAAGTCGTGGGGGGTAGGGGTAGGGTTCGCATGTGGCCCCCTATGCCACCGCCGCAGTCTCTGTGCACGTGGCTCGGTGGCGGTGCGACTGACGTCCCAGTGCTGAACGACGGCGCTGTTCGCTAGTGTCCTGCTCCTGCCCTCGTGCTCCGACTCGGCTCTGCCGTGCATCAAGAAACGGAGCATTCGGGCAAGCACGGAGTCTAGCTTATCTGTGAACTCCGCTGGGAGGACGGACGCCGTGAGACCTGTGATGGCAGCGCTGTGCACGACACACAGGAAGAGCGCGCGGGACAACTTGGGGTGGAGCGGCTGCCTCCATACTGACTTCTCCTAAGGAACTCCAAGCGGCTCGGGCTCCTTGATGCGGTTCTTCAACTCGGTCCTGAGCATCCCTTCGAAGCTTAGCGTAGGTCCCAGGGCACGGACATCCCGACACACTGCTCCCTGGACGCGTGTTTGTCGAACAAGCTCCCTGGGCGCTTCAAAGGATCCCTGCCCGTGCAAACTGAGAAATATGGTTGGTCTTGTCTGCGTTGAACAAGTGGCCCTTCTTCTGGATGTGTGTCTGTAAAGCGCGCGTGGCGTGGTTCAACTGCATGGTGATGTACCGTGCGCGTGATGCATACGCATGTATGAGTACTCTAGAGACGTCATCAACCAAAAATGCCAACTCCGATGTCTACTACATCCAGTAAAACGGGGCATATGCCCTTCAGCCATGTGTAGCTCGTGTCTGTGTCCGCGAGCTCGTCATTCCATGCTGAAGCTGTCGGCGAGTAGACGTCAGCAAAGTCGCCTGCGGCCAGCGAGTGGCCCATCGTGGTGCCGCTGTGAGGAAGAATGCCAGCGGCGCCGTCATGGGCTTCTACATGAACTGTTGCTTGCTTGATTGCCTGCTGAAGTAGATGTACGTTTTCTCGTCGAGCTGTGCGTTCGTGATGTGTTTCCAGACTTTCACGGTGCGTGCATGCGAAGGCGTTCGTACCGTCGTAGTTGCTAATCGCGTGGTTCAGGTTTGCTTGCCTGCATCTCCATCCTGCTGCTGCCAGATTCAAAATGCACCCTTCTCGTCGTCGTCCCTGGAGTCCGCCGTGGGCAAAATCAGGTGGAGGGGGCCTTCGAGATATTCTCTGAAGCTGTCCAAAGTAGGACATGCCGAAAGCGTCAAACCAGTGAAGCACCCTCTGGCCCCAGATCCTTAACTGCTGGTTGCTTTTGCTCTGGGAAAAAGCCTGAGAGCGCATGGTACTGAGACCGATGCTAAGGATGGGTAACCTCCCCAAGGGTACCTTGCATCCTGGCCTCTTTGGCCCATCCTGAGCCGCTCGGCAGCCAGCCCCTCTCGAAAAGCTTCGACATGCGCGTCCAAGGGGCTCGCATTCTTATCGCGCATTCTCGCCACCTGTTTTGACTATATGTACCTGTACGTTGCTTCGGCGTGCTTGCAAGTTTCAGCCTCCCACGGGCCCGCGGCGGGCCCGGGGGCCATCACGGAACGACTCGGAGTGAGAAGTTGGCCCTGGGGAAGTGGTCTAGAATCCTCCAGGGGTCCACTGACGAACGAATAACACCCTCCCATACCCATCGAGGGGACGGAAAGGGCTATGGGTTCGTGTTGTCGGATGGGGGTGCCCGCTCGAAAAGGAGCATCCCCACAAATCCGACAACCCGCACCCATACCCATTAGCCAGTCTTCCTCCCTCCGCCCCCCCTCATGGGTCTGGGTGTGTGTCGTTCTTTCGTCATCCACGTGAAAGGCGCGGGTGTTCAAGGTTGAACACCGCCAGTGAGCCGGAAGCGGCCGATTATCGAACGGCCTGAGCAATTGGGGAGCGCCGATGGTTCAAGGTTGGGCGATCTGCGCGGCGTCGCAGGCCATACTTACCGAAGTCGACACGCCACGAAGCTGCCATCGGCGGATGAGGTGAGGTGGTGGAGGTGGAGGTGGAGGTGTTGGAGGTGGTGCAGGTTGAGTTGGAAGAGCGTCAGTTTGAGGTGGAGGTGGAGATGGAGGAGCAGCTATGTAAAGGTGGAGGTGGTGGAGGTGGAGGAGGTGGAAGGGGAGGTGGACACGAAGCTGGCATCGACGGAGGTGGTGGAGGTGGAGATGAGGTGGTGGATGTGGAGGTGGTGATGGATGTGTTCCCAATGCCAGCTTTCTGATGAGGCTGACTGTTTCAAGTTTTAGTTTTCCACCTGGGACATTCGAGACCTTCGCCAGTCCAATGTCCCTCCTCTCCACCCTCGTCTTCACCCTCTATTCCTCCTGCACCTTCATCCTCACCTCCTCTTCTTCCTCATCACCCTTTTCCTCCTCATCGCCTTCTTCATCCTCTTCAGTTTCTTTCCCGTCTTCCTCTCTACCTTAGTAAATATTGTCGTCTTCCTCCTACCTTCCCATCCGCTCCTCTTACTCGGTGGCGAACCCTAAGAGGAAGTGAGAAGCGGCGGGCCTTCTCAGAAGGTTCGGAAGTCACCAAGCCTTCTGAGACGTGTTCTAAGCCTTCCCAGAAGACACAGAAATCCTCTCAGAAGCCCTGAGGGCTCCTGGGAAGCCCCGACGTCTTCTGAGAAGGCCTCCTTCTTCTCACTTCCCCCCTCGATCGCCCCGACTTACCCGTCCTCTTTCTCCTGACCTTCCTCCCTCTTGGGTGAAGGGGGAAAGGAGAGCGTGGAGGAGATTTTGGACTGGCGCGCCACTACGTCCACTTTTGTGCTTTGAGCGGGGATAAGTCGCAGCTCCGTAATGTTGGGGCGCAGATTTTCGTTGGGGCAGGATGATTTCAGCGTCATCCTCCTTGACCTCCGCCACCTCCTGTGCCTGCTGATCTTCTCACCGTGTTGCTTGCTCCCCCTGCGTCTCCCTTCCTCTGTGCACGACTGACCCGGCACTCCGCCTTGAGACTCTGAGTCTCCCTGCTGCTCCTGCTCCTGCTCATAAAGCCAAATTGCTGAAATAAGAACTTGGGGTTCGGAAGGGGCTCGATGTTCTTTTGGTCCTTCAATGGCCGTTTCTCTAGCGCTCCTCGTCCACGCGGGCGCTTTGAGGCCGAAAAGGGGCTCCGTTCCTCAGTCAGCGTTCCTTATTTCAGCAGCCCGACTGAGATGACGTTCCCCGCGCGGCAAGGGCAACCGAGTCGTCATCCCTTAGGGCTGCGGCATGAGCTGGCGAAGGTGACCCTTCGTCGCTCCTCTTGCGGCGCGGGGCGGAACGTGAGGCAGGGCTTGTTTCGACCCCTCCGACTCGACTCGACTCAACTTAAATCGATTCCGACTCCGATTCGATTCGCCATCCGATTCCTATGTGGGTTTCGGCTTCTCGACGAAGGCATTACCAGTTTGCAGGTTTCGACCGATTCGACGTCTCCCGATTTTCAGGCGGCGGGATCTGTACACATCCACTGCACCAGGACGGGTCAGGCCTGGGACAGTGGATGTGCATACATCCCGCCTCCCTATGGGCCTGGCTGCTGCCAACCTCCGCCGAGTTCCGATGCGTTTCCACCGCTGGTGCGATTCCTCGGCCCGATTATGGTCTTTCCTGTGAGGTGACACTCGGCCACACGCAGAGGGGGCGGGGGGAGGGGGGAGGGCTTCTTAGAAGCCCCCCTGCTTCTCAGAACGCGCGGGCCTTATTCTATAGATGCAAGGTCGGCTCCTGAGAATCGGCTGCGAGCGAGGGGGGAAAGTGAGAAGGAGAAGGCCTTCTCAGAAGGCGGCGGGGCTTCCCAGGAGCCCTCAGGCCTTCTGCGAGGATTGCTGTGTCTTATGGGAAGGCTTAGAACACTTCTCAGAAGGCTTGGTGACTTCCGAGCCTTCTGCGAAGGCCTTCCCTTTCTCACTGTTCCCCGCGGGCTCGCCGCCGAAAGAGGCAGCCTCCGTCTGAGAAGCCTTCCCCCCTCGCTCCGCCTCCTTCTGCGCGCCGCCGAGGCACGGGGTGCTGTTCCTGCTCCCGCTCCTGCTCCCTCCGCTCGTCTCTCCCACTCGCGTAAGAGACATGCTGCCCTCCCGCGATGGGCGAGGAAGTGCCCGCCCTGCGCGGAGGAGCCGTGCTCTCTGGGCAGCGAAAAAAGACCGGTGCCGACCACACGCCCAGAGCGCGCGTGGGCGTGCGCGTGTGCGTGTGCGTGTGCACGCGCGCGTGCGCGTGCGCGTGCGTGTGCGCGCGCGTGCTCGTGTGCGTGTGCGTGTGCGCGTGCGTGTGCATGTGCGTGTGCGTGTCACCCTGAGGAGCCATCTTTGGGTTTGCTGGAGATGCATGCCCCTGGCCCAAGGGTGCCGCATCCCCAAGTCTCGCTCCAGCTCAGAGCGCGAGGCGCGTTCCGAACTGTGAGTGTTGAGGGTGGCGGGGTTTGGCCGGGGCCGGGGCTTGTCGTTCCATCTTGGAGCTCCTGGAGCCCCTGGGCCGCCTCATTGGAGGTCCTGGGGGCGCCTTGGGCCGGGGACACTTCTGGTCGCATCCGGGACCGGGTTACTGATGGAAGAAGGGCGCCGCACGTTTTATGAGTCGTTTGTTGCGGATGGCCCAGTGGCCCTGAAAAGCATTACCAAGGGACGTAACCAACCCGTCTGCATTGGTGGCAACATTAACGGGCCCAGTACGAAGGATTTCCGGAAAGGGCATGCAAACGCTATGCAGGAACACAGCGTGGCATACACCATGGGACTCATTTGATGCAATTCCATTCAACAGGATGTGAAGGACGGACAAACAAATAACGACGAGTGCGAAGAGGAAGACCGCGGTCCCAGTTTGGATCCGTGTGGGGTAGCAGCAGGAGCATGGTCAGTCGCGGGGGGAGGGGAGGGGCAAGCGGAAGGAGACTGGGGACAAGTGCAACGGAGGGAGGGGAGAAGAGGGAGAGGGAAGAGAAGTGGGTGAGGTGGAGAGGTAGGAGACAGAGGCGGAGAGCAAGCGGGAGAGAGATAGCGCCCCACCGAGAAGGAGTCAGCCGAGATTGGCCACCATCGATCCATATGGGGCTCGGCCGCCGCCGCGGGCTTTCCAGGAGTGCCTGGATCGTCCCGAACGGCCTCCTGCGGCCTGTATTGGGGCCCGTCGGACAGGGCTATGACGAGGATAGATCCGTTCCAGAGCGTTCCGAAACGTTCTCAGAGCGTTCTGGAACGCTCTGAGAAGGCAGCGGCGCCCGAGATCCTCCAGAGCCGCCAGATCTCAGAGATTCTCGATTTATCCACCCCCGAATTTATCCAGGTCCTGGTAATGTGCCCTCAAGCGGTGTGGTGACCACACCGCGTGGGTGTTCAGTGGGGATTCGGAGCCACCACGCGGTTTGGGTACTCGGGTCGTTCCCGGGGCTCCCGGGCGACCAGGGCCTCCAGGCTGCGCGGCCTGCCACCACAGGGCATGGGGACTCCCAAGATACCCGCCTTCGAGGCCTCACGCAGTGGCAGCCTCCTGCTGTTCTCTCAGAGCCTTCTTGGCGGCGGGGCCTGGTATAGCCCTCGCCAGCCCCGACATATCCTCCCGCCGCTCAGACCAAACCGTGTGCATCGCCTGCAGGTCTCGAAGAACTAGGAGAAGAAGAAACGGCATACACAGAAACCTGGAGCTCCATGCGGATTTCTTGGATCGGCGCTGGGCCCCCCTTGGCGGCGCCTCCGGCGCCAGGGAGGGGGGTCCCCCCGATCCCAGAAATCTGCGCGGACCACCAGAAATGCATGTTTGTGTTATTTGTTGTTCCTTTACCTTCACAGCTGGGAGACATGATCCAAGGCCGCGAACTTGGCCAGCGCACGCTTCTCCTCGCCGTCGGGTCCGCTCGGGTCAGCTCGAGCAGGAGGCTGAGGAAGGAGCAGGAGGGGACAGAGAGGGAGAGAAGGAGGCGGGAATGAGAGAGGGAGGGAACAGGGAGGAGAGGGAGGAAGGAGGGACAGAGTGGAGGCGACAGGAAGGGAGGAGGGGGAAGGGAGAGGGAGGAGGCAGCAGGCAGCAGGCTAGCAGGGTGGGAACAGCACGCGGAGGAGAGGAAGGCATATGCAGGAGGAGGAGGAGGAGAAGGAGGAGGAAGGGAAGAGGAAGGCAGGGGCGAGCAGTCTCCGCCACTCCGGAGCACATCTGCCGCCTCCTACCCTGTTCCAGACCCCGTGCGTGTCCAGGTCTGGAGTCTTCAGCTACGCGCACTGGCGCCGCCGCCGCTGGCGGTGGATGTACGGCGACGGCGGCGACGAGCGTCGCCATAAAGGAAAGGGATCTTGACCCAAACCTCCAACGTCTGAAAAAGAAAACAGGACGGAGGTGTTTCGTAGTTATTGTTTCCTTTTCAGGCTCTTGCTGGGCCCCAGGACGAAAACCCAGTACTTGGGAGGGGGTCGGGATTTCCAAAGACCCCGTATCGAACACATCAAGGCATCGGATGTCTGGGGAAGGAAGAGGGCAACAGAGGTTTCTCGCCGTCTTCGGCCTTTCGGAGCCCCCCCCAGGGCCCCCGGGCGTCAAAAGAACGGCCCAGGATTTGGAACTGGTCCCGGGAGAAGCCTCTGGTTTCAAGACCCGTTTCCCTGACGGTTCGCTTCCTTCATTCGGGAGGGGAAAAAACACAGACACAATTAATTTTCGATTCCTAGGAAAATATGGAGAAATATGGACAGTGAGGGGGAATACGAAAACCCAGAAAATATATGAAAATATTTGGGAATCCTGGAATTTGTGTTTATTTGTTCGCTTGCACAGGGTGTCGACTATTTTATTCCGCGTCGCACCGCACCCGCTCCTGACCCGCCCCCCCTCCTACTCCTCCCCAGCGTTCCCCAGTGGCCCAGTGGAACCTCTGCCCAGTGCCCCCTCTGCCCCGACGTTTTTTTCCCGCGTCGCACCGCACCCGCTCCCCCTCCCCGCCCCCCTCCCGCCCCTCCTCCGCCCTCCCCTTGCCCGCCCCGCCCCCCTCCTGCCCCTCTCCAGCGTTCCCCAGTGGCCTGGTGCAACCTCCGCTCCGTGCCCCCTCCGCCCCGACATGTTGTTTTTCCGCGTCGCACCGCACCCGCTCCCCCTCCCCGCCCCCCCGCCTCCTTCCCAGCCCCGCCCCTGCCCGCTCCCCTTCCGCCTCGACCATGTTATTCCGCGCGGCACCGCACCGAACCCCCCTTCTACCCGCTCCCCACCAGTCCCCAGTGGCCCAGTGGAACCTCCGCCCAGTGCCCCCTCCGCCCCGACAATTTTATTGAATCGCTTCGCTCATTCCGCCGGTCCATATTGCGCGCCGTTATCGACGATCGACTGACCGAGTGGTCTTTCGCGGTGCGGAGCTGCAGGGGCGGCGGCCGGTTTTATCAGGCTTTGCGTTCGGCATATGTGGGGTAATGCAGCTCTTGTGGAGCAGCTTCGCGGCGATTTGTTTGGAGCGTCGTCTGGGGAGGTGTCAGGACGATCGTTGTTGTTCACTTGGCTTGTAAGTGTTTGTTGCTTTGTGGGGCTTCAGGTGGCTTTCTGGGGCGTTCGATTCACCAGCACTCTGGGGCTGTCTTGGAGCTCTCTTGGACCGATCTGGGCTCCTTCTGGAGCGTTGTCGGGCTCCTCCTGAACCCTCTTGGGCTCTTTGGGGGCGATGTTGTAAGCATCCGCGGCAATCTTGGAGCCTGGGGAAGCGGAAAAGGCGAGATCGGCAAATTCATTAAACATGCAAAGGGAATCATGTATTCGTGCTTATGGGGGCTCTCTCGGGAGGCTTCTTGGTGGATGCTGGGGGGGGTCTTGAACGCGTCGCGGGCCGTCTGGAAGCGTTTTGCATGTGGGGACTCTTTCGGGAGGCCTCTTGGTGGCCTCTTGGGGACTCTGCCCCTCCGCCCCCTTCCCAGCCCTCCCCAGTGTGCCCAAGCGGCCCAGTGGAACCTCCGCCCAGCGCCCCCTCCGCCCCGACCATATATTCCGCGCCAGCGCCACCCCCTCCCAGGCGTTTCTCAGCGCCTCAGTTGCCCATCCGCATCGATTATTTTACTCCGCGCCGCGTCGCCCCCCACCCCTCCCCAGCGCCCCTTTGCGCCTCAGCGGGGCCTCCGCCCGCTGCCCCCTCCGCCCCGACCATTTGATTCCGTGTCGCGTTGCGCCCCTCCTCCCTCCCCAGCTTTCCCCTGCGCCCCAGTGGAACCCCCGCCCAGTGCCTCCCCGCGCCCCGACCATGATATTCTGCGTCGCGTCGCGCCCTCCCTTCCCGCACCCGCCGCCCCACCCCCAGCTTTCCCCAGCGGCCCAGTGCCTCCTCCGCCCCGACCACCTCATTCCGCGTCGCATCGCGCTCCCCTCCCCAGCGCCCCCCCCCGCGCCCCAGTGCAACCCCCGCCCAGTCCTTCCCGCCCCGACCATTGGATTTCTCATCGCGTCGCACCCCCCCTCACCGACCCCGCCGCCCCCTCCCCGGCGTTCCCCGGCAGTGCCCCCTCCGCCCCGACGGCTTCATTCCGCGTCGTGTCGCACCCCCCCTGTTTGCGATCCCCCGCGCCCCAGTGAAATCCCGCGCAGTGCTCCTTCCGCCCCGACGATTGCATTCCGCGTCGCGTCGCACCCTCTCCCCCTGCCCCCGCCCCCCCCTTCCCTAGCGTTCCCTGGCGGCCCAGCGCCCCCTCCGCCCCTACGAGTTTATCCCGCGTCGCGTCGCCCCCCCCTTCCCCAGCGCTCCCCCCCGTCGCCCTCCGCCCCAATGTATCCCCTCCGCACCGACCACTTTCTTCCGCGTCGCGTCGCACCCTCCCCTCCCTGCCCCCGTCCCACCCCCTCCCCCCTCCCCGGCTGGACCCAGACCTCTCGCTCTCCCCCCCCTGGCTTCCCGTCCGTCGTCCTCCCCCCCGCCGGCCTCCTTCTTGTCGTGGTCGTTCGTTCGTTCATTTGTTGTTCGTCGTCATCGTTCGTTCGCTCGTCGTTCATCCCCCCCCTGGCCCCTGTGGCCTTGCCCTGGACCCAGCCTTCCCCCCTGCCTTTGCCCTGGACCCAGCCCCCCTCACCCTCCCCCCTTGGCGTCCCTGCCCCCCCCCCCAGGGCCCCCCTTGTCTCCTGGCCTTGCTGTGGGCCCAGTCCTCCCGCCTGCCGTTGCCTTGGACCCAGCCCCCCTCGCTCTCCCCCCGGGCCTCCCT